GATCTGCCGCTGGTCTAAATAATATTAGTTTTTTTATATATTAAGCATGTATTTTTTATATTTTGTTTTAAGCATTTATATATACAACTTTGAAAATATATATATAATATTTCGAAACAAAATGGTCCGCTCTACGAAAAAGGTCTTAATAATTTTTTCTATAAACCCACTGCTTTAAAAGTTATATGCAGTTAAAGTTAGATATCAAATGACCTGAGGGTTCATATATTCTATGTTGCTCATACGACGTGTTGTACCGTAAGTAAGACATCAGTTAACCTGAGCATTCCTACAAGTGACTTATACATTTTATGTTGCGCATACAACGTGGTGTACTGTAAGTAATATAATACTTCAAATGATCCGAGTTTTCATACAAGTGCAGTATTCATTTTATGTTGCTCATACGACATGATGAACTCAGAGTTATACAGCAAATGACACGAGCATTAATACGAGTGTTTTCTACTTGTACATTCTATGTTACTCATACGACGTGGTGTAATGTATGCACAAAATACATATGATTTTTTAATTTCATATAACTTTTAAAGGAAAATTTTATGAAAAAATTATTAGAATATTATTTGTTTCGGAGATAAAAAATGTATTGCAAAAGCTCAGAAAATCCTTAGTAAAATACAATATATGGGAAAAGTAGAGTAAAGACGTTTTTTACTTTGGATCTATATTTTTGTGAAAAATTTGAAACTTCAGAACACGTTAAAAAAAAAAACACTAACTTGAAAACGTAACGGACACCTTAGTATATCTGTATGTGTGTATATAAATACAAAGAACTCGTTGATTCGTTAAATAACTATTAATTTATATATTGATGTTTTGTGTGACTTTTAGTTTGAAAATTCTTTTTATTTTTTTATGATTTTTTTATTCATAAGCCAAATCATTGTACCGTTAAATGGTTGCAATATTTCAACAATTAGAAAAATAGGCTACTTACAGCTATTGTACGCATTGCTAACATTCTTTGTATTTACATAAGCGCGATTTATAAATATGCGTATGGATATGGTGTATGTGCCGCTTGCGAGTGTTTTAGTTGCCTTTAAGGGAAAATCGGTAAATTCTGTTATTTTAATAATAATTATTATTTTTTTTTTTGCGCATGCATTGTGCATTTTTATTGCTTTGCTGCAAGCTTAATGCCTGTTTCAATAATCTACTCCTAACTCTTTGTGATTTTTTGTTTTTTTTGTTTATAGAAAAGTACAATACAAGTTCTAACAAAAGCCGCTTAGCTTATATACAATACTCCTTTTCTGAATGTTGAGTTTAGGAAACCATTAAAGCTCAATCGTTTGAAGCCTTATTAACAATAGTTATTAAATATATGCGTTTTGTTCAATATGAAATTCTTTATATGTATATGTGTGTATATACAACTATTTGTAAATGTATGTGTGTAAATAGAAAAACGCTGAGATATGTGTGCGCGTGAGAAAAAATAATGATTAATTAATTAAATTAATAATTATTTGCTATTTTCCAACCTCACTGTTTTTTGCAAAAGCTTTTTTAAACTTCTCACTTATCTCGACATTGTTTTTGTGCCTTGAACTGCTCTAAATGCTATACCTTTGTTTTTTTTTTTTGGTGCAAATCCTTGGTTCTTTTTTCAATTGCGATATTTATTTTAATTTTAAGCAACTTTTTTGCATTTTGCGCAAAATTATTGTTTCACATAATCACCGAAAAAACTTATTTTAGTTTTTTATAAATACTCGTATGAATTTTCTTAAATTTAAATTTAGTTTTTTTTTTTTTTGCTAAAACCAATTCAAATTATGTTTATTTCATTGCTTTAAATCTTCTACACCTCAAAATTCACTAAATTAAGCTTTTACTCAGCGTAATATCAGGTAAATCACGCGTTGTTCGTTTGAATTTTAGAAAAAAACTATGGAGAGGCATAAATTTGTTCAATTACTAACTTCGAAACAAATTTCAATAGTCTAACGCTTTTCTAAATTATACTTTCAATTATAGTTTCATAGTATATGTATGTATATATGTACAATTTAAGTTATAGTAGTCGCGTGCGATATACAAGGCGCTAAAGATTACATGTAGACTAGATGTACATTTTAGAAGAAATCTCGACTAAAATTTATTAACAATTTTAAGGTGGTTAGCGGTAGTAAGTGACGAAAACAGTGGTGTTACATAAAAACTTTTCCTGAAAGCAAGAAACTAGTTACACTTTGTTGAATTGAATTTTCAATGGATAGTCAGCTGATTTATCGATTAATCGAATAAATATATCGTGTTTTACAACAATGGAATTTGCTGCTCAGACACTTTGTTATCTAAAAATAAATTTTATAATGTTAATCGATGATCAGTTGAATTATCTAACAGTTTTTGTTCTTACTCCTATCCAGGTTACAAAATTTTTAAATTGAAATATTTTTAATTTAAAACGATAATCAATTGATTAATCGATTAATCGCATAAGTTGCATTGTCGATTAATCGAATCAGTTTTTGTCTCAAATCCTCTGCATGTTAAAAATTTTGTAAGTAGAAATGCATTTTAAATTTTTAATCGATAAAGAGTTGATCAATCGATTAGTCGAAATAGTTGCATAATCGAATCTATCGAAACGGTTTATGCTCTAAACCCTGTCCAGGTAAAATTTGGAAAGTTGATATGCACTTTAAAATTTTAATCGATAATCAATTGATAAATCGATTAAACGAAATAGTTGAATAATCGAATCAATCGAACAGGTTTTTGTCCCAAATCCTGTCCAGGTTAAAAGTTTTGTAAGTTGAAGTGCATTTTTAAATTTTAATCGACAATCAATTATAATCGATCGATTAATCGAAGGGTTTGAATTAGTGATTCATCTAATGAAGTCCTGTTCATGTTATACATTTTGTAAGTTTAAATAAATTTTTAAAATTTAATCGTTAATCAGCTGTTTAACTATCGATTAATGGAATCAGTTTTTGTCCTAAATTGTATCCAACATGAAAATTTAGTAAATTGAAATACATTTTTAAAATTTAATCGATAATCAGTTGATTAATCGAATCAGTCGAACTATTTTAAATTTTAATCGGTAATCAGTTGATTAATCGATTATTTGTTTTAATCGATCAATTAATTGTTTAAATTGAGAAGCGACAAAATGTTGCTTGTATTATACCTAGTGAGAGGGCGATTCGACTGGAATTATCATATCATCAATAAAGAAACTCTGGACCATGAAATCAATCATTATCTTGTCCTCTTACGTTTTCGCGTTGTAAATATGGACTGACAGTCAGCTCAGCAAGCGCTGGTCAACAACAATAGCTTGTTCGACAGTGAGGTTCTTCTGGCGGAAAGTGCACCGTATGAGATCTTCTGAGCTATTAGCACTTAACAAAACCACTTTGCGCGCAATTGTAGCTGTTATGACTAACCAATGCCCAATAGGTTATCACGCGATTTAACCGCGTCTGTCATACGCTCTTTGCCAAAGCATCTTGTCACCATCTTGTCACTTCCCCCTCTATTGCCCGGATTTTGCTTTAAATACAAGAATAACTGTAGACACACCTTTGAGGAATTTAATGAATTTGCTGAGATTGATATTAACCGCCTTGAAAAATTTGTGCTCAAAATTTACTTTTTTCTAATACGTCGCCATTTTGTAAATTTCTGAATTTTTTGTTTGATTATGGCTTATTGTAAAGACGAAAACTTACAACGGTGTTTTCAATAAGAGTGCTAATAAATGATTTGGGAAAGTTTTTATTCCTGTGAAAGTACATTCAATGCCATAAAAAATTTAATACGTTTTTTTTTTGTTTTTTTTGTTTTTGCATGACCACCATGGGCACGCTTGTAAACGCTGAACTCAATTTTCGACGGTTTTCAAGTATAAATCGGCCGATATTGTTGCAATTTCACGTTCAATTATAGTGCGAAGTTCATCAATTGTCGCTGGTTTGTTGGCATTGACCATAGACTTGACGCAGCCTCAGTGCTGACAGACCAATAACGCATATTTTGTTTATTGACAAAGCCATTTAACCAGAAATGAACCTCAATGAAAATTTGGATCATTCAAGTTGTTGCTCAGCCCAATTCACGAACATGGAACGATTCCAGTGGTCAAGCGGCTTTAGTTCTTGCTTCAATTTGAACTTGTAAGAATCTTATTGAAACTTTCACCACAACGACGTCATAGAGATACCCAATGCTTGAGAACGACGTGTGAGAGACTGATTTGGAATATTTTGTACTGTGCCTGTGGTTTCAAATTTTCCACTAGACGGTGAATTGTTGATCTGACAGGACGATTATAACAACCATAAATTGGACGTAGCGCTCTTAAGGTTGAGTCAAATCTTACTAAAGAGAAAAGAGCGAGGGAAAACATGGCGTCGTTTGGAATTCATTAACATGCTCCACTTTTAAAGAAAGTTGCCTACTTTTAGGGTGATAATTAGATAGTATAATTGCATGCATTTAGAAATTTGTCAGAAAAATAAAAAAATTATAATAAATAAAATGATTGGAAGAAGTTTGCTACCACCAACCACTGAAAAGAAATTTACTAAAATGGTTTTACTAATTTGACTACAAGATCAATACTCAGTTAACAAACTAAATTTTAGTACTTCAAAAGTTTCTTTTAGCGACTAAGCACTTTTGACACTAGTTAGACGATTATGCACGCAGTAAGTTTTCAACTCTGTTTTTTTTTGTGCAGATCACATAGAAATTTCCAATTATGATATTTGCGAAGCAAAAATTTTCGTGCGTTGCATTGGGAAACGCAGCGAGCGCTATGCTTGCACACAAATTTGATTTGATGAAAATTGATTGCGTTTTGTGTTTGTTTTCCAATGCGTTTTCAATTCGAACAGCTTGCAGTTTTATGTTATGTGTGTGTGTGTATTTATACAGATATGTGAATGTGTGGAAGTGAATGTAAATTGCTTGCTTTTGAGCTTGTTGTAAAGCAGCGGAATAACGCTTANATTTGCCTGTGTACGCGCAAATCCCATCAACTGCTCACCATTTGTATCCGTGATTTCGTAACCCATTTCGCGACTTGATTTCAGAAAGGCTTTTAGTATGCTTGACTTGAAGTCGGTATAGCTGACATCGAGCGGACCGTTGCGCCCGTGGTACGGCGACTTGCGCAATTCTTCGATGCCAATATTTTCCGATTTTTTGAAATATGGCAACACCTCCTTATAACTCCAACCATTATTGCCTAGTGCAGCCCAGTGATCATAGTCCTTGCGATGGCCACGTGTGTAAAGCATGAAATTWATGAGACTTGTACCGCCAATACCACGTCCTTTYGGCCAATTGCAGACACCACCTTTGAGACCCTGGCAAGCATTCGGTGTCGGATCAGACTTGTAACCCCAATTGTAGCGTGTCATCTGGGTGAGCGCGGCGGTAAGGGGGACGTCCCTGAGGAGAGGGGGAGGAAAAGAGAGAGGAAAATAAGTAAATTTACCTAAGCGGTTAGAGACAATTTTTAGAGTTCAGAGAAATTTAAGACTTTATCATTCTATCCCAATTTATACATTTGGGCGATCCTTAAAAGAGTACCGAAAACTGCTACCCTTGCTAAGACTTAGAGTCCCCAAATATTCTACTTACCTCAAGAACATTTCCTGATCGCCCGCCTCCAGCAATAGCACCGTTGCATTGCTAATCTCACTCAGTCTATTAGCAACATCACAGCCACCCGAACCAGCGCCGATAATTATGAAATCATAAGCCTCATCGAACGTTTGAGTATCCGGTAGACGCGTATTGAGTAGTGACGTCTCGAAATTGCGTGCCAAATCGACGAGTGGCTGAGCATTCATTAGCAGCGGCAAAGTGGCAAGCCAAAGGCTGACGCAGCTCCAACTGATGTGTGGCATACCGCAGCTCGTTGTCATACTAATGGATGGAAAAGCGGCAGCAACTGTGCCTRCGGTTAGAAGACGCGTGTGAGAGGTATAAACAAAACATTGCAATTGCAAAATATATTTGTGAAAACACTCTTAGCTGCTCGATTTCGTAGATATACGAGTATATGTGTATGCACTTATGTGCGTAAAAAGCGCAAAGCTTCTTAGAGTTGTGTGCGCTACTTTAGTTTATGAACACGGTGATTGCAATGTGTGGCATGCAACCAGACCTAATTTTAATTATTATTTTTTTTTTATATACATTCTTACTTGAGATGAATTAAATATCAACGAAAATGTCAGAATAAAATTAAGTACTGGGTATTAGTATTCGGAAGAACTCATTTAAAATGCTCGAATTTCGACTATGGGATTGTAAAATTCGACACCGAATATAAGAACGTAATTGTCAATGGTTAAGCTTACATTAAAAATATAGCAAAATATCTTTTATAGGCTTTGTAAAATGAGTACTAGGGCCTTATTATCTTAAACTGATTTTATACCAAAAATATCGGAAAATAATAATATATTTTCGAACAGCATGGCCGAAGTGCGGTTTTAGCTGTGGCTGATTTTATATCGACGAATTTGCGAGGTAGTTGAAGGATATTAAGTAAGCATTTTTTCCTGATTATAACGCCGTCATGGGTCAAAAATACATAAAATCGGTTCGTCGCAACAGTGCCATCTATGTAGCTTTTGCCAGCTTAGAAAAATATTCAAAATAAAGGATTTTTGTGTTCTCAGCCACGTTTTCATGCAGCGAAGTGATTAGAGCTCGTATTCGTCTTAGGAAAAGTGCAGAATATGCGAAAAAACTATGAATTATGCCAATGCAGTAGTCGGTAACTTGTTGTCTTTGACTTTTGCTCGGCCTCCAATGACGCAACCAGTGATCAAGTACATCTTTCAGCTTCAAGGCGTCGCACGACGTTGTCACAATTCAAAATTCTTTGAATTTCTCTATCGAGATATCAGATTTTCCATTTGTTTGGTTTTCAAAGCACATACTTTTTCTGAAAACAGTAAATTTAGTTTAACGTCTTCAAATCATCGCCGACTGTATCCAACAGAGAAATTTAAGTTCTGCCACCTATTTTTCGTCTCTAAAGAAATAGATCAAAAATGTTCCTCATGTACATAGACGAAAAATCCCAATTACTAATTGAAATTTGCACACGTCTGCGTTCAATCGAACATATCACAGATGTAACTGAATGTATCATCTATTTTAAGTTCTCTAAGAAGCTGCGTCTTTCAAATTTCGGGAATATACTCATGTTACTTTATCTTTTAGCGCTCAATAGTTTTGCTCTTGTACCAGCAACTTGCCGACCGGTTTTCAGCAGTTCAAGTTCAAAATCGAGTGAATACAATGAACGCTAGCTCACACTCATTACAACAACAGGTAAGTAACTCCAAAACGATATGTGAAGCGCAAATCTTACTGAAGAGAAATATCAAAAGAGCGTGGAAAAATATGACTTCCAAATAAAATGCAAGGATTGAAGGAAGATTGCTAGCACCAACCACTGATAAAAAATTCACTAAAATGTAAGCTTTCAACTCTTTTTTTTTTTTTGTTTTTGTGCAGATCACATAGAAATTTCCAATTATGATATTTGCGAAGCAAAAATTTTCGTGCGTTGCATTGGGAAAACTCAGCGAGCGCTATGCTTGCACACAAATTTGATTTGATGAAAATTGATTGCGTTTTGTTTTTGTTTTCCAATGCGTTTTCAATTCGAACAGCTTGCAGTTTAATGCTATAGTATACGTATGAGTGAGTGTGTGTRTGTATTTATACAGATATGTGAATGTGTGGAAGTGAATGTAAATTGCTTGCTTTTGAGCTTGTTGTAAAGCAGCGGAATAACGCTTAAACCTATTTGTAAATTCACATTGTGTCTCTGTGCTAATATGTGTGCGGGTGTGTGTGTGTGACTACGCTACTACACCAACACACCGCTTTGCTATCAAGTTATGACTACCAACACACCACGCACGCTGCGYCAACGTACACGTTCTAGTAAGTACCGTTGCACTGCTACCTGATTAGGCCGAGCAGATGTTCGTGTAACGCTATGAATGTCAATAACGCTAAGCTACAGTGTTGCCACAGTGCTTGCGGYGAGCTTTTATAGTTGGCCACCGCCTGATTGCATGCGTCCGCATCGTTGCAGCTCTGCAAGCAGCCATGTACGTATCTGTGAATGAATGAAGAGGAAAGAATGTGTAAGCTACGTGAAGAATCAATCAAGCTGCCCACCTACATACATATCCTTTTACTAAGCGTCGATGTATGTGGGTACATTGTTGACCATTGCAGCTTCGACCACTTACCTGTCGTCGTAGTAGAATTTGCCACAATGTGACATACGTATGATTTCCGTGTCCGTGGTGAGYGTACCGCTGTCCAGCGCACAGCCTCGTACCGTTATCGATTCGCCAGTATCATCTGCGGCGAAGCAAGTGTCAAGGAAGCAGCAAGCATGAAGGAATTATAAAGAAGTTGCATCAACTAAGCGCACACAATAGAAGTGTCACTACGAAGCATATACGAGGGCGGTCCGTAAAGAGCGGATTTTTCAATTGTGGCAAAAGGTATTCGCATGGACGCAAATCTAGAGAATATGTTGAATTTTGCCGCAGTTCGTAGCTTAATTCGTTAAATTTAGAATTAGGAACGTGTAAGCCGTTGCGTTTTAATATAGAACATAGTTTGTTTCTTTCACGAGCGAGGTTATTATTATAAGTCGGCATATTAGAGTCCTCTAATCACCTTTGCGACAACCTTATGAAACTAGGTCGAAACCGTATGATCATCACTTATCGGACCGGTAATTTAGTCTAAGCCTGTTTAGAGCAAGTTGAAGCTTCACGGATCTCTTGTGTGTGTAAGTGGATTCATATTTCGGCACATAATCATGAAATGGAGAATGGAGTCACGTGTAGAAGTTCACGCGCTGTTTTTCCAACCCTCCACGCAAAAAACGCCAATGAAAATTAAACGACGGTCTCGGATGAGATACCCCCTTTACTTTAGACTTTAGAGTCCTCTGACCACCGTTGTGACAATCTAGCCACAATCCGCATCAATACGAAGTTCTTCAATATCTGTAGTACTAGATTCCAACATAGAAAAATTAATAAAGCTAACTGGCTCTATCCGCATCGAAAAGCCACCACCCAGATCGATCATGTTATGATAGCCGGAAGACACGTCTTCCGTGTTTTAGACGTTTGTAAGTTCCGAGATCCTACCACTGACTCGGACCACTATTTTGTTGCAAAGAAGATACGCACTACGAACATTTCTCCCACCTGCTAAATGGCAGTGAAAGCATAATCCGGACGTTCCATTGCCCAACCATGACCATAAAGAAGTTGAAGTAGCAATTGCCTACTTAGTTGTGCACTGCAAAATCCACGAAAAGGGAGACCCAACACTCTACTCCAATTACCGTGAAATAAGCCTCCTCAACATCACATACAAGGTTCTATTGATCCTAATGTATAAAAGTCTAAATTCCACCAAACACAAACTCATTAGACGTTATCAGTGTGGCTTGACGCCTGGAAAATCAACAACTGACTGGGTACGCCAAATCTTGGAAAATATCCGTGAGAAGAAGATCTACACACACTTTCTCTTCGACTCGGGGGAAGCAGAGGAGGGAAAGATCAGGTGGGGAAGGACCTGGCTGCACTTGGTATCTCGAATTGACGAAAAATTGCGAACAGAAGAAACAACTGGCACGCTGTTGTTAACTAGGTCATAACCGCGTAAACGGTGTATATGCCAGTAGAGAAGATGAAAGATGGCTGCTGCCTCAGCTAACTGACGCATTCTTCGTGTTAAACAGTAACTAAGTACATATCGGACCACCCTCGTATGTGTAATATGTATATCTGCACGCCTACTTACCATAAATCCCGGCGATTTTGATGCAGGCCGTCGCCGGAAATAGACCGTTACGTCCTTTTCGTCCACCCATGCACGGCGACTCCAGTATGGCGGTAGAGTAGTTGTTGTGAAAGGGATCGTCGCATGCCTTGTTGGCTCCATTGAATGAGACGCATTTGAAGCAGTCGATACAGTGGGCTAGCGGGGAATAAAAAAGTGCAAAAATATTGCGTTGAAAAAAATCAAAATCCCATTAGAGCTGTTAGTCAACGGCATTGAAGTGCATTTGTCACTTGCAAGTACATATGCATATGTATGTGTGTTACATTTTGCGTGGCAGTGTGCATAGTTACCTAGCTGTATGCTGTGTGTCGTGAGCAGCACAACGATACATGATATGATTTGCAAATTCCAGTTTACTCGTAGCACTTCAGAGACTGTCTCTTATACACATCTCAGCACAACGATACATGATATGATTTGCAAATTCCAGTTTACTCGTAGCACTTCGCTTAGAGGCGGCATTTTTTCATAGATGCCTCTGTGCTTGCTGTTACTTTCCTTTCTTGTTTTKGTTTTTGTTGTCTCTTTTTGTTCGCTTAGTTCTTCCTATAAATGCAGTTCACTTTGATTTAAAGCTGACTTGAGTTTCGGTCTCATCGTTCCTTGTTTGCCTACATTTAGCTTGGACCAATTTTAAAGCGCTGACGATGCATGTCTTTGACGAGCTATAAGTGGAAGAAGAGACATCTGGGTTAGTTGAATGATTGGACACCTGGACAATATCAATATCAGTTATGATTTATCGAATGACTGTAGATATTTATAAATTTCAAATATCCATAAAAACGTTCGATATAAGAATTTTAGGCCAACATGTTAGAGTTAGGGGGATGGGGTCATGTGTAGATGTTCGTGCAAGTGTGGAAAGTTCTCTGACTGCCATTAACTTGGAGGTGGTCAGAAATGATTCTTTTACATATGGCTCACGCAGATCACGACTTCCGGTTTTAGACTATGTATCCACAGTGCAGCAAAAGAACATTAGCTTAAAGGCGAGCTAAAGTTCGAAGGTAAACCATTCCTTACCAGGGTTGTGGACCCGTCATTTAAAAAAAAACCAATGAAAATGGATGGAAATGGAAATGGATTAGTGCTGCTTTTCAGTTCAGACTTCCAGAGGACTAATTTAAGTAAAATTTGACATCGAAGTCGTATGAAGTTGTCACTAAATATAACAAGCGGCAGCTTTTATTTGATCTGCTAAATACCAAATGACTGCATGAAACAGTCGTGTATGTGATCCTGAGATTTAGATTTTTGGAAAAACTTGTTCGGATGTACCCGAATTGTGTTCATGCAAGCAATCGCTAAGCGAACTCTGTCTATCTCCATATCATAAAAGTTGTTCCACAAGGAGGAGAGAGTGGGCAGTGAAATATATTGACAATACTTGACAGCGACGTGTCAGGCGAACTTGCTTACTAGCCAACTCCACCTCACTAAGTTCAAAAGCATAATCAATCTACCGAGTGATAAATTTCTGCTACTTGTGTCATTTTGTAGACTCAAGAACATCTGTTTAACATGGGCATAGCCACTTGTGTAATCTGCTGGTTCTGCTACTTGAGGCTAGAACTTCCGAAGTTCTGATGCTATACCACACAGCAGTCTGTAGACGCCGAATGAAGGCTTTGGATCTATTTATCCGAATAGAGATCGGATTGCCTCAATATTACCTGGCAGGATACTGGATTTTAATAGTGAACTGGACCTATAAGATTCGTTTTGACAGAGGCTTTTGAGAGACTTTGTGTCGCGCTGCAAGTCTCAACTCATCCACATAGTTTTAGTTTCCATTTAGTTTATGCCACGTTGACCCAATGGATAAAAATATCACTACCGTAATTTTTTGTGGATTCGGTCGTSTGTACTTTGAGAGTTTAAAGAATAAAAACAGTATCACATCTAAAGCTGGAGCTCTCCGAGTAAACTTAGTCTATGTGCTGAAAAAGAATTTTCTGAATTATTTCTAGGATAAGATCCGAGATTCCAGATTCCAGTCGAAAGTGCACATTGGCGGCGAAACTGAAATGACTTTGCCATAATTTGAAATGGGGTATTCACAAATATCTCCAACAAGATTCATACCAGATGCTGGAGCTCAATAAGTCTCTCAATAACCATAAATTTCATCAAATTACTCGCCAATTTGTTTTTGGTTTTGTCTTGGTTACAATGTCACTTACCGTGTTCATTCTTCATTTCTTTTGACAAAGAGTTTATTACATACCCACAGACTCGTATGGCACTCGGCACACTTCTGCAGCACGAGTGGTAGGTTGTGGTAGCTGCCACTCAAAGGACCATGCAAGATTTTTATTCTCAGAACGTGCGCTTATCATGTTTAATGGAGTTGAAAATTTCTTTCAGTAATAGCAACAAATGGAGAATGCGGAGAGAATGGCTGCGTAAGAGTATTGTTTGAAGGAATATAAACGGGACATTCGAAACAGACGACTCACATTAAACAAACTCAAATATATGGCAGCAAGGTGGTTGTGGGGAAAGTCAGTACAGCACCGAAACAAAGTTTTATGAAAGTAGTGTGGGTTGCAGATTAGTTTGTTAATAATTTGTCATATGCCAGGGGCCGAGGAATTAAAGTTATTAACGCCTTAACAGATGGTATTGCTTTGCTTATTGGAAAATAATTTCGAGCAGCATTTTATACGGGAAAACATTATAATATGCCGTAATACGAGATAGACTCCATCTAGTCCTCATTCAAACCCTCAGCATAATGTCCGATATTTATGAGACTTGTGGTCACGCCGATAAACCAACTGATTAATTCGAGTCGGTGTGGTCCATATATATCTACCAATGATAATAAGATAACATATAATAACTTAAAGGAAATTGTTTGAAAGTCGTCGTGCTCACATCAGAGAGGTAGCAAAGGATCTCAACAATTCTTATGGATCGACTCAGCATATTTTATTTAACGTTTAAGGTATGAAGCATTCCAATGATAGGCTGGTAATACAGATCTGATTTGTTGTACAAAAACAGCGTCAAGTAGTGGTCTTAAAGAGAATGCATGACAATGTAACTGAGGATTCTAGATTCACCCAGCGCATAATTATTGCGACCAGCCTTGAAAGCCGAGCCGAATTTTATAGCAATTTGAAGGCAATAATAAAGATTTGCATTAAAATGCGTAAGAATGTAATTGTTTGTCAGCTCGCGTCAAATTTGATCAGATGGTATAAATTGCACCCTTTTAGTTATGACGACTTCCTTTATTTATCGCTTCTTAGTTTTTTGCTCTTGTACTCTTCGCGGAATCTTTCCATTTTGTTCAAAGCTTAGGCTTAATACTCGAATTGTAAATACTAATAGTCAAAACCGCAAAATTTTTGTATCTCTCTGTGGAATCTGGAGCTCTATGAGCCTTCAAACGTCGAAAAGCGATAAAAACCAATAAATAGAATTTCGACTGAGTTATTTGAAAAGGAAGTAAGTTGTGTATGAAAATGTTGAGAAATGGCTGCTCTAATTTCAAAATGATTCCTTTATCTCCTTATTTTACTAGGAGTATTTTTTCTGGGAATAATAATGGAAAAGTCAGTGCAATGTCAGAAATTAGCAGTTTGGTGTGAAAGTTGGAGTTGTGTAGTGGAGTGCGAACACAGAGTATCATTGAGACATGTTGAATGATAATTTAGTATTAGCTTCCAAAAATACCCAAATTTTATATACAGGTTTAGGAAAAGTTCCTGAGTACCGCATACTAGTTGCAATCGGAAGTGGCCTCGACATCAATCCAAATAAAATCGAGATGGTTCTATTTACTAGAAGATATAAGTTCCCGGTGGCACAACTGCGGTGGATTCAATGAAATATCTAGGGCTCATCCTGGATAGAAAGCTTTCATGGAAGCCGCATATCGAAGAGAGAGCAAAAAAGGAATCAATTACTTTATGTCGCTGCAGAGGAGCTATTGGCAAAAGTTGCGGCCTCTCACCGAATGTAACCATCTTTTTTTACGACATCGTAGACAAGCCCATTTTGTACTATGGAGTCTAATCGTCCATCGAATATTTCAAAAGCATAAACAAATTCTAAATGAAAGTCGCTTTAATTTTCGGAGGCAGTGCCAAAAACAAATCCCACTGAAATCTTAATAAATCACACACTTAAAGATATATTAGAAATGTCTAAAATWGGAAAAATATAATCTTTGACACGCGAAACTCATGTTCATACGCTGCCAACTTCCCATCTGTTGCTAAAGATGTTGAATAATAATATTAAAGACGTTTTTCACAAAAAAATATAAGAAAATTGCGCCAGAAAATTGTAATCACCGTGCAATGAGCGCCATCAACATGAAGTAATCATCACTTGACGCCACCCATGAATATTCATTGTCATCACTGTTGTTGTTTTTTTTTTTTTTCATCGTTAGAGTCATAAGCATAAGCAAGTTGGCTTATAAGGTCACAAATACAATGGCTCTTAAGACGCCTTAATGACTCTGCACTTAATCATTCAGCTATTCGAGATAAGCCGCTTTAAAAAATGCAGAGAGAAAACTCATTAGTTAAAAAGAAATATGCGAGCAAATGCGCTGTTAAGTAATAGCGTTGCATTAAAAGCGAATTCGGCAGCAGGTCTTTAATGCAGCAAATAAGTTACGTATACCCCATGCCGCACAGATTTCACAGATTTATGTGCTTCGTGAACGTKTTTCCGCGCTGTCATGCATTAAATGCGATTTTCTTTTGGTATCTACTTTCTGTGCACAAAACAACAAGTTGATAAATGTGTGTGGGGAAAACCAAGCTATCATTTTTCTACAGCTAATTTCACTTTATTCAGCAGCAATTTTGTAGATATTTTAGACATTCCTGAAAAGGATCCTGCTTGCTTGTTTTTTCTGCCTCGCCTTGCTGCCAGCACATTAAAAAGTCATAAATTCATATTTGGCAACAATAAAATTAGCAGTGTCATAGAATGCACAGTTACACTATTACATTGCTGGCATTCTATTCGGAAAGCGGAGGGAGGAAAGAAATACCGAATTTGTTTTAATTTTGGTATGTGGTTAGTCAGTGTGTTATATGTATGTTTAAAGTAGAAGTTCTTATATAAAAAAATGAAGTTTTTTTATTTGAAAAGTTCAAATGATAATGAAGGAACAAGCTTTTAAATACCTATGGGAGCGATATTGTAGGCGAAGTATCTGCTTACTAACTCTTTAGTTTTATCATAATTGTATTCCAATCTTTGTTTTAAACAAATAAACATATTATAAAAACAAGGAAAGCAAGTACTTAATTTCGCTCATTTAGTGTATCTGCTGTCTCTTATACACATCTAGATGTGTATAAGAGACATGTTCAGGGTATAACAAGTACTTGATTTCG